ATATGGAATGCCCTGTGTGATTTTTAGTCCGGGACTTAATTAGTCATGTATAAAACATATTTTAATTACCTCGACGTTTTGGACGTATTGCAACGTCTATAGTCTCGAAGGAATTGAAGAGGCGGGTGTCAACATTTTCTAGCTGTTCGAGTTTCTCTGACTACTCGCACTTGGTCTTCATTATTTATTTATGCACACGTAACTAGAGATGGGCAATGGGTTAAAACTCAATCAACTCGCCCTGGTTTTAACCGGGTTTTTACCCACTTTTGCCCAAAATCGTGGACAGAAACGGCGAGTAGTTTCAATGTAAAAAAATCTTTTTTTAGATTAAAAAGAGACATCTCCACACAATATCCATCTCGCAATCGTGTTCATTCGTGCTACTAAGAAAGAATATTACCATTCGATTTTTATAAAGATCGATTCAAGGGATCATAAGATATAAGGATTATTTAAACCGATTTATTTCAATGCTGTTTTCAAGTGAATCGGTTCAACAGAAAGGCAAATAGAAGTCCAATAAGTAAGCAATAAACATTTTATAATAATTATAATATCATTAAAGAAGGACGGCGACATACTGTGTATTTTGTGACCCAGTGTTTTAGACGACGTGCACTAACCGCTCACGCGATGCGCTCCTCCTACCGCAAAATGGCGGCTATTTGGTTCAGCAAATTAGAAAAGGATTCAGTTTAAATACAAGTTTTTAAAAATAAAAATTATTATTTTGCATTGCTAAATAAATACCCTACGTACTACAACAAATACATCTCAAATAAAATGCAGTAATACACCGCAAATCCTGCACTTAAAAAGCACTAATGAAATGTTTGGTGTACTTGGATAAATATGATAATATTCCGTTTGAGTGGTTCTAACGTTTACCATGAAATTACTCCTTAAAGTACAGTTTATAAACATTTATATTCAGGGTAAACTTAAAAAACGCTACTTACGGTATGTTTTCAATAAATAAACACCGAAATCACCAGCCCAAACAATAATACGTGACGTATTTTTGAAGTTGTTTATTTTTGTTAAATAACAGACCTACAGCATTAAAAACTTTATGGTTTGCTAGAGTAGTTACCGAAATAGCAATTAATATTAGTTCTTTTACCTGTTATAACTTCGATATCCGATAAATCGGTATAAAATCATCACCGGCACTTCTAGGTGTGGTATGCGTCTACGGCTGCATGTATCGCGTGAGCGGTTATAGAGATCTATCAATACTTGTGATTCATTATAATAGAAACAAAAAACCTAATTGAGTGCAGCCTGTAGAAGCTGGGGTCATAAAGTTGATTATATTATGTTTATAACATTGTCCTGTATTTCGCTTTAGATGTTTGTTCATAGTAACTGAAAACAACAAGTTTTCAGTTTGTATCCAAAAACAATAAAGTACTTGCTGAATATTCTCAAATCTGTCAAACTCTGCTAAATTTAATACAACGTTAACATGTTCTGCCGCAATGAAAATGAATAAAAATTAAATCTGCTCAAATGGCAGAAATCTGCGACAACGGGTCACACTTTTCTCAATCTCAATGTGACATTGACATTGGCAAGACGCCTCTTGTCAAAACGTTCCTTTGCTGACTTTCTTATCTCTCAGTCATAATATACTGTCTAAATATTTTTGTCATATTCTTTTTATTCTTTACTTTATGTCATTACTGTCTAATTGATTATTTGATTAGGTATTTTGTAGCTTTAATGTTTTATGTGTGTACTTTAAAATAATCAATACTTTAGTTACGTAAACATTCAGTCATGCTTAAAACGAAACGTATGTACAAGAATGTTACCTAATCTATGGTCGCACTGAATCCATTGCATTGTTTCATTGACTTACAATTATATGGACGTCGGGTCCGCGCTAAAAAGTATCCGAACTTATAGGGCGTTAAAATCGTACACAGAGCGTCATTCACGCTTTAGTCTTCGTTTGTTCGAGTGACAGCGAAGCAAGCAAAATTAGACAGTACTGCGATGACATTACAATTTAAATTCAACATTTTAGCTTTTTCATATTCCCTTACATGTCACTACGTTTAAATAGGTTGACTTGGGACATTTTTTTCGTGGTTTTTGTATTAGAGCCGTCGTCCATTTATTTGTAAGTTAATGCATTGTTTGCTGCATTTATTCTAAAATACATTGTTTTACAATTTCTTTATTCCTGACTTCTAAAAATATACAAAAAATTTTAATAATTAGACATAAACTAAAACTTTGAACTATACTAGCAAAGTCCATGAACGACTCTTCCTTGATTTTATAATAATTGGGTCTACTTATGCCATCCTTCTTTGAACAAAACTCGATTTACAGCAAATATTTAGTTATAGTTTTTGCCCTCGATTTCGGGCATTAATAGGTTTTATCCCGGGCGCTTGCTCATCTCTGTACGCAACGCCAAACTTTGTCCACTGGTTTTTATATACATACATATAAAACATATAACACTGCTACTACCTTTGTCGAGGAAAAATAGACCATAACGCCATAATAATGGTACCCATACTATTTAATACGAATATACGCATTCATGTTCATTGAATTAAGAAGTCGATAACGACTAAAATACGGCTTGTTTACGTTGTTTACGCAGGACGAAAAGGCAATAATTTAATAGAAATAAAAATGTTAATCCACGTGTAACATTGTCGATAGCGACCCTTTCCTGGCAACGGGTTTAGTCAATAAGTATACGTGTAACATTTGTATATGTGTAACAATAGCTACAATACGTGTGTTATATTATTATACTTTATTTACTCATTTAAAAAAATATAACAGGTATAAGAAAAGAATATTAAAACACAGGTTATATACTTCAAATATTAGGTAGTAAAACGGCCTTTTTTTTACACACACTCTCATAGCCTCGCACTAGGGAAACTCTGTATCGCGGGTGCCATATACACGCACATAGACGACAACCACAAATTACACCCAAACTCACGGGAGAAATAAATGTAGGCTATACAAATATTTCTCCCGTTCTGCGAATCGAATCCGGGATATCTGCGTGACAGTCCAGCATAACCGTTCTGCCACAGAGGCAGTTAAATATTTTACAATAACAGGATTAAAATAAACCTACAAAGTTTTATTGAAATCGGTTAACGGGAAGTGGTTGAAATTCAATAAACCGTATTCATCCTCTGATTTGCTACCCTTAGAAGTGGAATATTTTCTTTTAATTTAAATGGGACCACTATTGATGTACCCTTTTTTCCAATAAAAAAATAACCATCGAAATCGGTTCATAAACGTCAGAATAATCGCGTAACAAACAAAAAAAACGAATTGAGCACCTCCTCCTTTTTAAAAGTCGGTTTATAACTGACTGTATTTTTCCGTTGCAATAGTTTTTTATAGCATATTCACCCCTATTCAGAGACAAAGACAATCACGCCACTTATCGTTTTCAAAATCGGAACTTTAGTCAATAACGCAACTAGTATTGAGAAATATAATATAGGCTCAGATTTGACTAAATTGCGATGCAAGCACATAGAAAAATTCGTGAGGACCGCTGGTTCGTTCCGTGGCTTAGTTGGTGTAGCGTCTTGGACGGTATGTTAGAAGACGTCGGTTCGAATCCGGCCGGATCGAAGGATTTTTTTCTGAGTATTCGATCTTTGTATTAATAATTATAACAAAGTAGTGGAGTAATTTCACATAAAAAATAATTGAATATCAATTCAATAAAAATTTAAGAACTAAATTATTGTTTATACGAGATAAAAATTAAGATATGCATAATATAGGAAATGAAACTATTTTCCGGATTTAAAAAAACTTTGTAAAACTTAATGTAGCGTAAATTGGGTAATTAATAAAAAATAAGGTATTTAATTAATAACTATTGTAACTATAGTGAAAAAATAGGGTTGAAGACTGTACCACCTCAGTCAATCGTGACCACGGGACCTGTAAAGGGCCCGAAACGTCGGTTTGTTTGAAAAAACAAATATAGGCGATTTAAATCCGGAAAATAGTTTCATTTCCTATGTGTAACAATCGCGAAAACCTAAGAACTCGATATGCATAATAATTTGCCATTATACTTTTAGTAATTGAACCAATGAATATGCCATCACTGCTTTTCCACTAAGACTCAACTACCATTGCAATTAGACCTTAACAGAATCACAACTACATTTAATCATAATCGCAATGTAATCTGTATTGAGACTCAATGAAATTACAAGTGTGAGTGGTTTCATCAAGGCCGCCAGCGGCAATTGCTAAATAGCTTTCAGAAAAGAAATACTCTGGTGTCAACCTGATTGTCTGGTTAACTGGAAAAGTGGTGTATCTACTTCAAAGGGCCCATCTGCACATTCCGATTTGCGTAGCCAAGTACGTTTCCATTTGGGTGTAATGCGCGTAGTATGGTGAGATGTAAACTAATCAGCTAGTTACAATGTTTATAGCAACACACTTAGCAACATGTTTTATCAATAATGTTTTTGTTTGCTTTGATATTTCCAGCTTAAACGCCTACTCATATTGATAGTTTGGGTAACAAGTACTTTGAGACTGATTCTCTCAACAAATTGTTTACGCGTTGTGTTTAGTTAGGAACAAAAAATAAGTGAAATACAATTGTGTTTAAAGAAAAAATAAAAACACGAAAGGCTTAAGTGTTATTAACAATGGAATTAAAGGTACGATTGCTAAAAATATTCTTCAAAAAATGACAAAAATCAGATCAGATAAGTGACTTATTTATTAATTACTCAGTTCTATGGCCAAACTTCAACGTAAAACAAGTATGAAAACAATAATAAACAGAAGTCATTAGATAGTTCTGACGATGATCAGAAGAATTATTATTTGTAAGACATAACCACTGCGAATTGATGAAGTAATAAAGAGATAGTAGTAGAAATAGACAACAAATATGTCAAATAAAATCTACAACGACATATTAAATGAGACATCAGAGTTAATAGGAGAAGCTACTCAAGCTGACGAAGCTGTTCATGCAGCCGGACCAGCTGAACGTACAGCTCTGCAACCGCTGCTTTCAGAATTAAGAGTTCGCTATACTGTATTGCTAGCAAAATTAGATACAGTGTATGATCAGATGCTTCAGCCACAAAAACGCTTGATTGTCAAAAGGTTATTAGAAGCTTGCTTGGGAAGACTGATAGAAATTAAACATGATTTGGTTGAGGTGCATTTGTCGGATTACACTTACGATGACGATGATGTGAGTTTGATTTAAATCTTTTTGCACCCACTTATAACCCCGCACTAGGAAAACCCCATATAGCCATGGACATATACACAGACAACCACAAATTACACCCAACTCCAGTAGGCCATACAAGTATTTCTCCCGGCCCGGGAATCGAACTTGTCCCAAGTTCTCTGCCTGGCAGTCCAGCATGGTAACCGGCCACGGCGGCAATTGGATTTATAAATGAGATGTATCGGTTTCAGTCTTGTTTTTATCTAAGTTAATGGGGACGATTAAATCAGTACCTGATGACAGATTTCGAAGGTGTAACATAAACATTACAATTGATTCATAAATTATCGCTATACATTTATAATGTCATATCAACCGTCTACCAACACGTTACAATCATTTATCATTTTAATGTAATATCAGGTCCTAAAAAAACTTCAAATGACCCCTCATGAAGCAGAGCCAGTAGTGCCTCAATACTTTATCAGAGAAAGAGAAGATGAAGTCACCAATCGTCGTACATTTATAGAAGGCACTTTAAGGAAACTTGGTTATGAGCCTCCAAAACCGCAGCCTTTGGTATTGACTGAACAACAGGCGGTACTGGTTATACAGAGCCACGAAAGAGCTAGGCAAGGTAGACTGAGGTAAGGAAAAAAATTGTTTGTAAACGTATTTTCTTTAAAAGAACATCATATATTTGGTCCCGGAAAAGATGTAAAATTTGGACATTTGTATGTTTGATTGAAAACTAAAACATGCAGATTATTTGGGTATGCTTATGCGTAGGCACATAATGTAGGTTAAAGAAATAACAAGTGGACTTTTTCCTTCAAATTTCTTTTCTGATTTGTTTTAATACTTTTAGAGGACAATTCATGAAAGAAATCCGTCTTCTAAAAGAAAAGGGGAGGGATCAAAAAGGAGAGATGTCAGCATCTGCTGCAACCGCCATACAAAGGGTATGGCGGGGATTCATAGCCAGAAGAGCAACGAGGAAGAGAAAAGAAAAGGAACAGTTGTTAATTGGAATGTCAATGCCGCCATATGTTGAGTCTGCTGCAATCAAGAAAGCTGAAGAAGTAAGTTAATTTGACAAACCGTTAAATATAAACTCTGGGATTAAGATAATTTTGGATTGGCTAGTGATGTGGTTAACTGTGAAATAAAGTGAAGATGACACGATAATCAAAAATCAACCCTTTCATTTTTTGAATTCCATTTTAGAATATGATCAGCTACATACTCGATAAAGCTTTTCTAAACACTTAGAAATATTTGGGTAATTATAATGAAACCATTATAATTACTTTTAGGTAAAACAATATAGACGTGGATTACAAAAAGAGCGTGAAAAAGAATTTCAAGAAGCGTTAGTCTCGATTGAAGAAAAACTTCGTGCCAAACATAGCGTTAAAATGAACGAACAGATCGGAGATGAACTGAGAAGATGGATTAAAGAATACTATGAACGAACAGGGAGATTTCCTGACTTTCCATCTGAAGAAGGCGGTGGCAGTAGAGCTATGTTTAGTCGACAAGGTACTCAAAAAAATTCCAAAGTAATAACGTAGGAAATTTTGCTTTTATTAACAATTTTTAATAAAAATTATAAAATTTAAATTATAAACATTTTTATTAATAATAAAATTTTGTCCAACAGGTACAGGAACTGACAGTGAACTTTTAAGTAAATCATCGCCAGTGACGTCTTCTAGAGAATCGAAGAAGAGCAAAGACAGCAAAGATAAGAAGAGCGGCAAAGCTGATGATAACAAAAACAAAGACGAAGCTGAAGACTTGCAAACTTACAAATGTAATCCTTCAGCATTCTTGCAAGATGTTATGAACTCTAACGAAGAGTAAGTATTTATTTTCAAAGTGTAATAAACGTTTCTTCACATGATATAAAAACTATTTTAATCGACAATTAATAGAATTCTATGTAGTTTCATTAAATGTTTGCAATATTTGCCTCTATCAGATAAGCAATAAAAATATAATTGGTGCTTGTAATAGATTTGAAGACATATGGAAATTCAAAGACGACCCTGAAAATCCTCATGAACGTTATTATAAAGACATGATAGAAAGAGAGAAGATGGTCAAGATCGAACAAGAGATAAGAAACATAGTCGATGAAGTTATGAGAAGTGAGCTTGAAGTTTTACAAGCAGCATACGATAGGGACCGCGCTCATAAAGGGAAGAAAAGTAAAAAGCCCCAAAAGAAGGTAAACGTCATTAATTATATAGCAAACACTTCGTTATACCTAGTTAGGCTAAGAAATAATTGCACTCAAGACATAAACATTACTTCGCGAAAATCTATTGAACTTTGAAAAGCTATAAATTGGGTCTCTTCGGAGTGAGTTTATTTAAAGATGAATCAATTTATAGTCTAGTTTTATAGAAAAGTCTACCTTACTTCATATTTTATATTATAGGTACGACGCGGAGGCAAAAAGAGTAAGAAGAAGAAAGAAAAAGACCTCACACCCGATAGAACAACGGAATCACTGTTCGAAGAACTGGTGTCGAATGGAATTATTCGTCCCTATCCTCAAGTCAAAATTGATGATTACATTGGTGAAAAGTGTTATGTGGGAGCTGAGTTTAGAAGTCAAGGTGAAGAACCTGAGCCTTGTTTGGGTGATATAAGGCAATTGATAAAAGAATATTGCATTTTGCCTTTAGGCTCTGAGTATGTCAGAACAAATGCACCGTTGGTTCGATCCGTTCTTATTTCTGGTGAGTCTACCTAATTATTTATATATGTAGTTAATACTTAATTGTCACAAATTAGACAATGAAATTAGAGACTTGTCATTTAAAAAATTTAACTGGTTTTTAAATAGCGTAAGGGTTTTTCAGACCTTAATATTTTCGGTAATTGTAAATTAATATCATTAAACGATTGAAAATTACTGTAGGACCATCAGGCAGTGGCAAGAAATTTCTAATCCAAGCAATCTGCAGCGAAACAGGTGCAACATTATTCGACCTGACACCTGCAAACATAGTAGGCAAGTATCCTGGAAAGACAGGTCTCATAATGTTAATACATTTGGTAATTAAAGTATCAAGATTGCTGCAGCCGTCTGTAATATGGATGGATGAAGCGGAGAAGCCTTTTGTTAAAAAAATACCAAAGACAGATAAGACTGATCCGAAGAGATTAAAAAAGGATTTGGTGAAGATTATCAAAGGTTTGTTTGAATAACTTTTTTAAGGAAGCTTATA